CCTCCTTTCCACTGATTTTGTGACTGGTGAGTAGAGTGGCATTGGATATGGCCATGCTAATATTTCTTAAGAGTGCCTTGTTGGTTATGCACTGAACTTCAGATAATTTAAATAGGAGTTGGCAACCAGCTGGGTATCTGCATCTTCAGGTATTTAAATAAGGATCTGTTAAGGAACTTAATTTGAGGCACCTATTTTTAAAGTCTTGGACTTAAGCTCTAAAAAACAGCAAGGCATTAGAGAAGCAAAGGAATGAGTTTTCCCCATAAACAGTTGAGAGAAGGTCTACTCTGCACAAAGGCAAACAAATGAAAGTTCTGTCTTATTGTCTCTAATTGCTGTTTATCTACTTGTTCTTACACAGAACTAATTGTAAGAACAAATTCCAGCCCTAGCTGAAAATTAGTTGCTTCAGACAATTTTAGCAAAAGTACAGTGCTCAGAGACAGAACACTATTCTGAAGTGCCCCACTCCTGCTTTTTCTTTCTTTTAAGCTCCAAGACTACTTCAACTTCCCAGTGTGTACTGCCAGGCTGTTATCAGCTATAATAGGTAAGCACACAAATAATGGGTTTTGTTTTTTAATATTTAGGTGAAATATAGTGTTTTCTTGTTAGGAAGACTTACTGGTGAAGTAGACTAAAAGAACATTCCACGAAGCTTAAGCTGCACAGACTAAGGCTGCATAAAGACATTCAAATGATCTGGAAAAAGTCTTCTGAGCTTGTTTTTCTGGTAGAAAAAACTTACCTGGAGGTGCTTTGAATACTGAGACTTTGAATACAGAGTCCCTGAAGAGCAGAGAGCTTGCAGTGATGAGCTATGTACCCAAGGGAACCTGTACATACATATCAGCCTACTCTGCAGGCTCCCTCTTTCTGCCTGGAGACAGATGGGCAGCAGTGCACAGGGCAGGATTGATCGCTTGGCCCAGGCTGCTAAGGGTTAGCCTGCATCTCCGTGCTGAACAATGTGGAGGGGGCATGCGTTCTGTTCCCTGCTCAGTTGGAGCAGTAGAGTCCAGCAAGTGACACTGTCTCCCGGTGTGGGGGGGAAGATGAGAACAAAGTGCCTTGGGATGCTGGAAGACTGTCGTGGCTTCTCTTAGAAGAGAATGTGTGCAAACATTCACTGTCCCAGGAAAAAACTCTTCTGTGAATTATTTTAATTCTGGTTGTTCCTGGGTTGTTATCATCTTGGAGTGGCCATTTTTGCTCTGGGAGAAAAAGTCTGAATATCTGTGTACTCATGGTTTCTCTCCCAGGAAAAACTGAATGTCTGTGAGTGGCCTCAGAAACCTGATTGGAGCAGGTTCAGGATACTGGCAATGTCTGTGTTACAGAAGCTTGTCATAAGTCATGCTTCAACTGGTATGGGGTCTGGGACAGAAGTTTCATAAACCAGTTTGACCCAAATCAGTTAAATATGGTTGAATGTAGTATCAGACTTATCTTAAACCAGTTTGTCATTTTGAAACTGGTTTATGTGCACTGAGCTTCTGTCCTGTTACAGGTTTAAACCAGTTTCAGATCACAAAACTGGTTTATGTGGAACTTCTGTCCCTAACCTAAGTTACTTGAGTGCAAATGTGTGGGATGTGCCTCTTGGAACAGAAGTAACTACTTTAGTTTGGCTTTTATTTGGCTGCAAGGGTTTTGAATAACTAAACTAGTTAAATTGCATTCCAGTTTGCAAAAAAAACAGCCTTTAGATATAGAGGAGTAGTAGTACAACAAGATGAAGATGCAGCAAACTGGATCCATGGCCAGCTGGTGTTGTAGCAAAGGGCAGAGGCAGATTACAAACCAGTGCTTGCATAAGGTGGGCATCTCAGCAGAAGCAGAGAGCAATTCAGTGCTCTTGAAGATCCCATGCTTAAGTTTTTGGGGGGTTTTTTTTTTTTTTTTTTTAAGGAAGTGGGTTGTTTGAAGGGCAAGCAGAACTGAACTAAACTGCACACAACTGGTGCCAAAATCAGGTTAAGAACATAAGAAGTGCTATACTGGCTCAGACCAATGGTCTATCTAGCACCGTATCTTGTCTCCAACCAGTGGCAATAGAGGATGATTTAGAGTAAGAGCTTAAGAACAGGACATATCTAGAGTTATCCCCTGTTGTACCCTTCCTGACATCCACCATCATTGCTTTACCTGTAAGTAAACTTGTAAAGGTTAGAAGTAAGCTTAGTGCAAATCCCTCTGGACACGTTCAGACTGGCTGATAACTAGCTTGAAATTAAGGCTTTTAGGTTGTCCGCAGCTTGGTGCGCACTGCTTTAACAACAACATTTTCAGCTGAAGCATTGGAAATGTTGTGGGCCTTCTATGTAGCTGTTGGGATCGTGGTGGTGGCTGGAAGAAGGGGAGGGCCCCAACTGTACTTCGTGCAAGGAGGGAGACTATTTTGGGAGTAGCAGCATTGAGGGGAGAGATCAGTCTTGTCCTGCATTGGTGGCTGTGCAGAGGACAAGGCAATGAGCACAGACCGTACTAAGGTCCTAGTCAGCTGCTGGTACATAATAATTGTGTTTTGCTTAGTGCGGTACTAAAGTGCTTGGGTCTAGAAGAGTAAAAAGGATAAGTTACACCTCTTGCAAAACATTTTAGGTACTGCTCCCCAAGCGGCTATCACTAAGTGCTCTCTCCTCCCTTCTTCACACATTTGTCAGGTTGTGTGTGTGCATTTCTGTGAGATTTGATGCAAGCTAATTTGCATAACTATATACGATCTTAAAGCAAACAGAATGCTGGGGAAAGGTAGAGTTTTGGCAAGAAATAGTAGTAAACAATTCATATGAAATACTAAATCCATGCCACATACCTCATCCTGCATGATACACTTCAGTTGGTGCTCCCCGAGTTGTTACCACAGGTTTGGGAGCAGCCTGGCTTCTAGACCAGTGGTTCTCAACCTCTTTTGTATCAGGACCCATTTGTAAATATTGATGGCCTGTCCTGACCCAGTGCCCCTCACTCTCGACCTGCTGGCCCCAGCCCCCAGTGTGTGGGGCAGGGGGGGCCCCAAGCAACCCCTTGCAAACTGGAACTCTGCCATCCTGCGAGGGAAAAGCCATGGTTTCCCACATTTTTCTCCTTTAAAGGAGAATTCATTTTTAAAGTTTGTTCGCAGCCCTTTCATATGTTCTTGCAACCCACTTTTGATTCATGACCCGTGGGTTGAGAAATGGCTGTTCTAGATCCAAACATGGTGAGAAGTCATCATCATACCTAGACAGCATTCTTCTCCAAAGTAGAACTGAAAATCCCTCCTAGCTGGTTGATTAACACAGCAAATCCCAGGTTTATGTAATTCATGTGCTGGGGCACTGCTGGTAATGACAGCATTTACTATTCCCTCAAATCTTTTTGATGCTGGAGGCACTGGGGATGGTGGGATATAGCAAGGGTAAAGGAAATAACTAGGTTCCATTGTTTCCCCATCTGTAGAAGACCCAAACCCATGTTAAACAACTGCTTAATGCAAATAACAAACTTGTTTCTCATGCTGACTTATCTATCCCCCATCCTCACATGGAATTTACCCACAAACTAGATACAGTCCTTTGCCAAGTTGGGACCCAATCTCTAACAACCCTAAAAGATTGGAGCATGAGATCATTGGAGCTGGAGAGTTTCTTACTCTACTACAAGGTTATTAAGCACTTACCTTGTAGCATGGATAGCCAGAGAAGATCAAATCTATTATGCCAATAGGAGATCTCTGAAGAGAAGAGATTCTGGTTGCTAGATATTTGTGTCTAAAGATAGACTGTAAGTCTGGACACACGGCTATTTTAGATGTATTATAAGGGGAGGAAGAGCTGCTGCCTGGGAAAACACACTGCAGCTGTTACAATACAAATGTTATGCCGGTATGATCGATCCTTCAGTGATGCGAGCGAGCTAAATCTTTGACCCTGAATGAAGCAGGTTTTGTTATGCTTATACAAGGCTACAAGATAACACACATGTAGCAGCCTGCATCAGTACCTCCTCTGAGGATGTAAGGCCATTCATGGAGATACTGACTTCCAGGAAATATTTCAGACCGTATGAAATAAGTTGATTACATCAGCCAGTCCTGCGAACGGAACCAGCCTCAGGATCTGAGTAGGATACGCTTGGATCCATTTTCAGGGTCACGGTCAACACCTGAAGAAGTGCATTTGTATGCATCTGGAAAGGAGGAAATGCAGCCTCCTGACAGCAGCTCAGCATCACAACTTCTGAAAACATGTTCAATACACTTCCAGTAACAAATCAGAAAATAAAAAGACTTGCTCTAATGGGAGAGCAGGCTTGCCTCAATCAGGTGCATAAGAAAGCAGCAAAGCTGGCCCCATCCTTGTCCTAAGTCTCTCAGACCCAGAGCTGGAGGCTTTAGTTTCCCTTTAAAAAGATATCAAACATTTACAATAGTCCCCACAAAGAAATGATCTGACAAGTCTGTGAGCCTAGAAATTGCTGTAGTTCAATAGGATTGTTCCTAGCTGCTACAGATTCTAGTCCTTGCAGCGTGAGCCAGCTCAGGTTTAATCACGCAGGTATTTGTTTGTTTAACCAGACAAATTACTTGCATTTTATTACAAAGCTTTTAATAAAAAAAACCACAAAAAACCCCCAACCAAATGCTCAGCACAGTAACTCAAACTGGAATGACAAATCAGTTGACAGTATTTTTGGCAAAGGCTGTGCCTTACTATTAAAAAAATGGGTACATCAATGCTCATTTCAACAACTGGCATAAAATCCCACTAACAGGCTAACAAAAACAGATACAAATACAGAACAATTGAAGTAATAATTCAAGTGCTGGGCTTTGTACAAGGAGCAGGGCAATGGATGAGGAGGAGAACTCACTGCAGTCGAATTTGCTGGATGTATTGCTTATGTTTTACAGAGAGTAGATGAAGCAGGACTGACATGTCTACTGACCAGGTGACTGTTAAAATTTATTTAGTTCTATAGGACACTGTATTACACAGACTGAGAGGCCACTATTTGTTACAAATAGTTTAATGAAAAAGCCACCCGTTCCATACAGGCTTTTCCTCTGGCAGAAAAAAAAAGGACTTCTTTTTATTTAAAAAGAATCTCAGATCTTTGAAGCTTCTTTAAAAGCTTGCAGCTAGTAAAATATACACCAAGGAAATGAAAAACTAAAAGTTAAAATATAAAAGCATTCAAGTTTCTTAAAAAAGCTAAAACCAAAATTGATCCTGTCTCACCATTAAATAAAAAGAAGTGTGAGTGGGTCTCCCTTGACCAGACGAGTTCCATTCCTCAGCGTGCTGGGGCCGGGGGGGGGAGGAGAGGGGGTAGCTGTTGGTCTACATTATTCAGTTGGCTGAAGCAGGCAGACGCAGCCAAACTACTTTGCTGCCGACTCAATGTGGACGCTGATGAGACATGGGCTTAGGAGTGCAAAGTGGAGATGGAGTGAAGACAAAAGCTGTTCTGCTGACCCAGGAGTTCTGAAATGCTCATTTGATCTCTTTATATCAGGGTTGGGAATCTTGTGATAGTGAAGGGTTTTGGCAGTGATTGTCTTTATGGTTCAGTGTCTCTAGCAGTGACATCCTAGACAGACTCCATGGGGGGGTGGTCTGCATGGATGAAGGACACACCTGGGGTTTTAACAAGCTTCCATCTCCAGAAGGGGCCCTGGTGTCGCTGCCTTGGTTTTGCATGTCGAGAAAGTATTTCTTTTCCCACCTAAAGAAGGGGAGGGGACAAATGTCAAAAATTTGCTTCCAGAAGTTTTTAAACATTCATTCTTAAGGAGACCTTGAAACCAAAACACTCTCCATCTAAGAAACCCATGTTGATGGATACAGTAAAGCTATGGACTAGTGGCATTAGTAGATGGTACTTTTGAATTATCAAGCTGAGTTTGTCGCACTGCTGTTGCATACACACGTTGAAGGGTTTGGCTCTTGCTCCATTCAGTGCATCACTCCGCATTATTAGTAGCTTGATTAAAAATATTTAAGGTGCCCATACCTCCTAGATTGGGTCCCTAAGGAGTGAGATTTAGACAGAAATAATTCCTTTTGTTGAAGGCTTTTATTTCCCTGCCACAGTTGACCTGGACATCACTTATAGAGGATTAGACATCCTCAAACCTCATCATTACAAGAGTCAGGGTCAATTAAGTCTCTGGCACGAGTTTCAAGTTCTATTCCATTTAAAAACAAAGAAATCCTATCTTAGTAGGCCCTGCGGGGGAGTCTGCTGTGAGGTAGAAAAGCAGTGTCCTGTGAATATCTGCTGTAGCATGAAACTGCATTGGTAAACAGCCTGTCTTACCTATTACCCTCAGGTATATGGCTTCCAGACCTTTCACTTGCACAAGAGACTGCTGCCAAAAGCCACAGGATTTAAACTGTCTGATGGCAGAGCCTGCAAGGATTATAGGATGGCTAATATTGTGGGATGCAAGGTCAGCAGTGCAAGCCTGTAGGTATTACTCAGTCTTAAGTAAAGTTTGATACATTACTTACCCCCCCCAACCCTTGTCCCATCAATGCCCCCCAGAGAAGCAGTCCGCAACATTAGGTCTTTGTATTACATCAGCCTGCTTTGTAATTGCTGATTCAACAGTCATCCAGACCCTCCTGACTAAGATGACCGAATTAAAGACTCCACCCGGTGACTGACTAGTGAGTCAAGCCACAGCACAGGATGGCAAGTAGAAAATTTTCCATATACATCTCTATGGTGGTGTTGGCATTGCTGGTATCTCATCAAAACCTACCCAGTGTTTTCTAAGCTTTCAGGAACTGCACAACAAACAAATGGGTAAAGGTTCCACCGAGCAGAGCTTTCATAATTGCATCAGTCCTGGATTTCAAGAAGCAAGTTCTTTTTAGCTAGCCATGGTAAGAAGTGACAAGAGATCTTGAATCACTTTGAATCATACATGCTAAGACACTGTACATACCCTTTTCAAAACAGGTTAAGTGTAAACAGTATTAGCATCTGCCTGATCATAACTGATTATGACTGATGCCAAATCGTACATGAGGTTACATTCCTATTACTGACAACAGGCTAGAGCTATTCAGAACTGTAACTAGGGTATGGGCAAAGTTAAATAAATGTATCAAAGGTGCCAGTCTACACATTTCCCCCAGCAGTTTAAGCTGAATAGTGTGTGTTAGTTGCAGTGTTTTGTCCATTAGCTGGAAATTATTGTTTACCATTGTTGTAAGTGAGGAACTTATACAAGTTAAAATTCTCAAGGGATGAAATCTACTGAGATCAAGAGCCTTGTTGGGTCCAGGACAGCTGCTCTCAATTCGGGTGCCATGAGATCCTTTTAAATGCTGTGCAACCTTAGCACTGTTAGGCACGCAGACTCCTACATATGATTCACCAGGTAAACCCAGAGTTTTCAAATAGGAATCTGTAGGGTAAAACATCCAAATGACTGCACTTTACCCCTAGGCTACAAACATGCACTGTGTTTCTCCTGGGACAAGCCATTTTATCCCAGGGAAGTTTTCACCTGTTTCTGTACTTGGTAGCCACAAACAGAGCAAAAAAAGCCTTTTAAAAAGCATAGTCAAAAAGTCCACTGGAAAAGCAACTCTTTCAACAGAGGTGGTCTGTCTGGACTAATTCAGTTCCTATTTCCTCAAAGTTATCCCAAGCCCCAACTAAAAAAAGCCTCCTTAGCTTCCTGCATGTTGTTTTAAAGTAGCCCAGCGCTCTGCAACACATGGGGATCAAAGAGCTATGAACGGCTCTACCTTTCCAAGGAGCACGAGAGCCAGGCCAAGCAAACAGCAGAGGAACACTGGTGAGAGCACCCTGCAGATTTATATTTACTTTGTGCCTTTTCATCCCAGATTTTCAAAGGTTTGGTCCAGGTTGCTCTTCCTGGGAAGGTTTTCCTCTCAGTCTTACATGAAAACATTCAGCTTCCTGTTGAGGAATGGCCTTGAGGCGCCAGGCCAGTAGTTCACAGCAGTCTGATACAAGTGCTGTGATTCAGAGCTACTCCCCATTAGCAGCCAGGAATGTCTACTTCACCGAAGGAAATGAAATGCTCTTCTGTTGAGACCATTCCCTGCCACCTCCCCCCTCACCAGCAAGCTGCCTTTGAAGTCAGGAGGTTAAAACAACGGCCACGGCCTTGCTCTGGCCCTCAGGTTTTAAACTGAGGCCTTTGCTGCTTTTGTGAGTCAAAGTGCAACTGTAGCAGTTTCTGGCTCACAATTTCATAACCTCTGCCTACTCTTCAGCAGTAAAAAAAGAGACTGCAAACATGATCCCAGTTGTACAAGGGTGGCAGAAGCAAAGAGGAGACCTAAAGTATTTTTATTCTTTCCAGAGGAATACTCCAGAAAAGTACACACTAGCCTTTCTCCAGCTGCACATTTTTAAGGCGACAAGCTTGTAGTAGTTCGTACTGCCAACGAACCAAATAGTACCTTTAAAAAAAAAAAAAAAAAAGGAATGAGAATGGTGTTGCCTTTCAGATATAAAACAGGTCAAATCAGGATTCTTTTCAAGAAACCACAGGCATGTGCTAAGGAGACTGAAGACTTCCCACATCTAAGACTTCACTGGGGGGCTGTAGCTGAAGTCTCGCCAAGCCAGGCATGCCCTAGCACAGCCCAATCCACAAGCAAAGTCGGCGCAATCAAAGGCTGCAATTACAGCTCCCTGGCTGTGGTCAGGCTTCAAAGAAAGTGCTGCAAGTCACATTTTACATATGTGAAGTCTTGAGCCTCCGCCACAATAAGAGCCACTGTCTGTGCCGTTTGCAGCACAGATCTGACTGCAGCAAAAAGAGAGACCCTTGAAATGAGTGACTTAAATGTCTGATTTTTATTTCTATTCAAGCTCTCCCATTAACATGATAAAAACAAAACTTCAGTAACTGGCAGCACGGGGAATACAGCCTCCCGATGCAATCGGAGGTTAGCTAAGTAATTTTTCTTTTTGCTAAAGAGCAAGTGGCACACTTTTGCCCTGCTTTTGGCATTGTAATGGGATGAACTGCATAGCTTTGAAGGCCTCAGCATCCTGATCTCAAAGATGTTACCAACTTGTCATCTCTAAACCTGGCTTGGAGAGGCTGAAACAATGTGAGCCAATGGAGATTACACAGCTTCAAGTGAGGGACTGGAAGTGGGCTGTGTTTGCAATATGCTGGAGGCAGGAAAAGGAAGTAAGTAGAAGGGAGACTCAGCCTTTCAGAAAATGCAATAAGAACATTAGTGTACTTTGGTGTGGTTCACTGAAATTAAGACACTTTGTCCTACTGGGTGGATTTCAGTAGAATTCAGTTAGACGCAAGCTGCAGGGGGAGGTGGGGATTTTACACTGTCAAAATATCCCCTTTAGGGCATCTTCGAACAATGTTTTTAGGGCTATTCTGAAACCACTCTTTTGAAATGCTGTGCTACCAAATACAATACAAAATCAAGTCAATGCCTAAAGGAAATGCTTGGATAGAGCCACCACATTCGGCCAGTGGTCTAGCTTGAAAATGAAGCCAAATATCAAAATCCTGACTGAAACAGAATCCCTGGCTTCCACACAGCACTACCCAGGACTTCACAGTTTCCAATCTGATGCACTAAACTATGTCATTTGAGCAGGGGTGGCAGTGGACTACCAGAAATATAATTTCCCCCTACAACCCCAGAAAAGTGTATTAGCATGATATTTTTTCTCCTTTATATTCTCCCATAATTATACCTTCAGAAGTGTCAGAAAGTAACATGGGCTCATTTTAAAAACTTGTAAAAACCCCAAAGGAGTTTGCATAACTTTGAAATAGGCATTTATTTTTACCCTGAAAACTTACTCTGCAAATTTCAATCAAGATAAGCAGAAATCTCATCCATGTTCTTCCTTATATCACCCAGAAGGTGTCACTGTGTTCTTTACATGTTTTACTCTGTAGTTGTGATAATCCAGGAAAAGTGGGAAGCAGTTTCTGTTTGGTAATCTCTGTTATGGGGCCAACTACATGGTTGGGAGAGTAGTTAGACTAGCTTTCAGGAACAAAGTGCAATTCTTAGGGCTGGGAAAGGAGCAGATAGAGTTTTCGGCTGAATCTGCTCTTCTCCTAGGCCTGAGAATGGGTGCTTTGGACCCACACACTTGTCTAACATCTCTCCCCACTATATAGTTGGTCCAGTAACAGATTACCAAACAAACTTTGCCTCTCCTTGTTTGTATGAGACTTTAACAGTACTTGTAATCTGTTTATCAATTTGGCTTTTTCATGGTATAAAAAGACCTGAAAGAGGAAGCTTTTTTGGCTCGCCTTTCACCTTAGAAATATCACTAACTTTAAGTGTGAGCTTCCCTAGATTTGTTGGAAGACCTGCTCTCTCTCAAGCCTTTTGTGTGCTTTGAGATACTCCTCCCAAATTAATGCTTAAGACAATATCTAATTCAACAAAAAGCTTTCAACAGTGACAACCTTTCTGCTCTCCAAGGCACAAATTGCACTCCCTTTTTTCCCCACCAGCAGAGAGTCTCCAGGAAAGATGAGATCTGAATTCCTGATGTGAAAATGGCTTTCTTATTTTATTTTTTTTAAGTGGAGATTACCTGTATAAAGCATCAGAAAAGACCATGTTCCCTTCCTTCTCTGCTGGTGGCTTAAAAATTAAGAATGGACCATACAACTAACATAGTGGAACTAATTCCTAAGAGTGGCAGAAAAAGATATTTCCACAATCAATTAG